GTAGTAGATGAGAGGGGTATTAGGTGAGAGGGGTAGTAGATGAGAGGGGTATTAGGTGAGAGGGGTAGTAGTTGAGAGGGGTACTAGGTGAGAGGGGTAGTAGTTGAGAGGGATATTAGGTGAGAGCGATTGTAAGTGAGAGGGATAGTAGGTGAGGGGAAGTATGTGAGAGGGACTAGAGGGGTAAGAGAGACTAAAAATTCCCTCACCTCTCACTATCTGCCTCCACGCTGTACTAGTTTATACACCGAAGGAAAAAATAATAATGTTCCCATATAAATGTTCTGAAAAATACGACTAAAAGTAAAATAAAAATAAAAATAATAATTCAATACGAAAGACTTTAAAATGCGTCTTACTTATAATAAAACATTGATACAAAAATTGTGTTATTATAAGTACAATTTTATTTACATCGTGGTTTCAGGACACATTCGAAAATACATTTATTTTTTTAAATCTAACACAATAATTCAAAGGTCAAGGTCACATGTCACGGGTCAGGGTCACATGTCACGTGTTATGGTCACATGTCACGGGTCAGGGTCACAAGTCACGGGTCAGAGTCACATGTCACGGGTCAGGGTCACAAGTCACGGGTCAGGGTCACACGTCACGGGTCAGGGTCACAGATCAGTATTGGAGGGGGAGGTGGGGGAGGGGGGTCACGCGGACCGGTGAGTGACCCTGTACAGATAGTTTATTAATGATTGTTTACTTAATAGTAAAATTTATGTAATAATGTCAAAGGTTCTGACACACACACACGGAGAGAGAGAGAGAGAGAGAGAGAGAGAGAGAGAGAGAGAGAGAGAGAGAGAGAGAGAGAGAGAGAGAGAGAGAGAGAGAGAGAGCGCACAGGGCAGCACACAATACCCGGGTAGAGATAAGCCAGCTCTTCATACTGCACTCATTGTGTTACGTCCACGACCCAACGGTAAAAACAATGGTGCTGAATATGTTATTTTTCCCCCTGGTGGGATGCCTTGTTCATGTCGCTCTGTTCCACGGTTATAAAATATATTTAATAAGGAGAATAGAATTTGTTTTGTAATAGGATTCGGTCAGTAAAAGTGGGTGTGACGGTGGTAGGGGTGTGACGGTGGTAGGGGGTGTGACGGTGGTAGGGGGTGACGGTAGTAGGGGGTGACGGCAGGTGTGACGGTGGTGTGATTGGTGGGTAAAAAGACGGTGGCAGGTGTGGGACGGTAGGTGACGGTGGTAGGGGGTGTGACGGTAGGGTGTGGACGGGCAGGGGTGACGGTGGCAGGGGTGACGGTGGCAAAGACGGTAGAAAGTAGAAAAAGACGTGGTAGGGTGATTGCAGGGTGACGGCAGTAGGGACGGTAGGGGTGATTTGGTAGGGGTGACACTGGTAAGGGTGACACAGGTAAGTGCGTGACAGGTAAAAGTGACAAGGGTGGAAGATAACGGCAAAGTGACACAGGTAGGGTAACACAGGTAAGCAAGATACAGGTAGGACTAATACAGGTAAGGGGTGACAGGTGGGGGTGACACGTAAGGGGTGGCACAGGTAGGGGTGAGACAGGTAGGGGTGACACAGGTAAGGGGTGACACAGGTAAGGGGTGACACAGGTAAGGGGTGACACAGGTAGGGGGTGACACAGGTAGGGGTGACACAGGTAGGGGGAGATACCTCCACTCTCCCTCCAAGACAATCTGTACATAGCCGAGACTCAACAGCGCTTCCTGGCGGTCAGTTCCCTTCGACATCACAACACCCACGTACCCGCCCAAGCTAAAAATAACATCACACAGACCATCTACTCTGAAGGCTCTCTCAACACTGCCTGTGAGAGGGCTATACTCACAGCCCTGAAATTTGTTGAAGACACTGCCACTGACAGTCTCATCATCAGTGACTCCTTATCCTTACCACTAGCTCTTGATAACCTAAACTCAGATTGTCACCCGCTTGTCTCTGAAGTCAGACACAGGCATATGTGTTTGTTGGCGAGGGTATGAGGATCAAGCTGCTATGGATCTCCTCTTACATAGTCCCCAGTGTTGAATGCAACCTGGGTCTGTCAAGAACCATAAAAACTGTAATCAGGAAAGAACTACAGGGGTAGCTGATGAATTTCAAGCCAGTAGACAAGTGCAAACAGGCACTAGTCAATCCAGTGTTTACCAAGATGAGATGTGGCAAATGAAACATGTACATGGGGTAAGTAACAAGATCACTAGATTACAAGATGTCGTAACCGCTAGACTAAGGTTAGGATATAAGCACCTCTGGCAGTATGCCCCGCAGGCAGATGTGAACAGAGTGTGCTGCCAGACTTATGGCCACACACTCCAACACTACGTCTTAGACTGTGATAAAACCGAACCTTTAAGGGACAGGTCCAAGCACACTGTGTATGCAATGGTACAACACTTTATCTCTGATGGAAAGATGCCTCATATATCAAGATTATATGCACATTTTACATCTAGTAGTTTAAATCAACCCCTACGTACAAAACTAACCCAAAAATGTACTGGAAATACTTTGCAACACTCAGCGCCACAGTATCCTGACCAATGGGGTCTGATAAACACCTCCTCCATCTTCCATCTGCTCCTCCTCCCCCCCAATAACTACCTCCCCTCCTCCTCCCTCGTCACAGTCGTCAGCAGAAAAGATCCTTCAAGTTTAGGTCTTCTTCGAATCCTCTTTTCCGTCTCTTGCTCCCTATATCATTCTCCCCTCTCTCTCCTTCCCATCATCACCTCCGTCTTCCACCCCTCCGTCCGCCCCACCTGCCTGTAAGCTCCTTGTTGACGCTGTCTGTATGCGAGTGATTCATACACTACCCATGATTAACAGCCTCTCTCTCTCTCTCTCTCTCTCTCTCTCTCCTCTCTCTCTCTCTCTCCATATTTTAACAACAGTAAATCTTCCCTAATAGGATTTCTGTATTGTGTGTGTGTGTGTGTGTGTGTGTGTGTGTGTGTGTGTGTCTGTAACCTAGTGATTCTGTAACCTAGTGTTTCTATAACCTAGTGTGTCTATAACCTAGTGTGTCTGTAACCTAGTGTATCTGTAACCTTGTGTGTCTGTAACCTTGTGTGTTTGTAACCTAGTGTGTCTGTAACCTTGTGTCTGTAACCTAGTGTGTCTGTAACCTTGTGTCTGTAACCTAGTGTGTCTGTAACCTTGTGTGTCTGTAACCTAGTGTGTCTGTAACCTAGTGTGTCTGTAACCTAGTGTGTCTGTCACGTAGTGTGTCTGTAACCTAGTGTGTCTGTCACGTAGTGTGTCTGTCACTTAGTGTTTGTCTGTCACCCAGTGTGTGTGTGTGTGTGTGTGTGTGTGTGTGTGTGTGTGTGACTAGGAGAACGTGTTACCAAGTGAACAGGACAACAAGTTAGCGAGATAGATTATAAACAAAATAAAAGGATAGCAAGATAACATACGAACAAAACAAGATAACAGGATAAAAGATAAACAAAATAACAGATCAACAGGATAACAAAAGAACAGGTCATTAAGATAACAAATGAACACAATAACAGGTCAGTGTGGCCAGCTTATGAAAAAACTCTCAACAACTTTGTCCAATTTTACAATAAGTCAAGTTGGTGGAGGCGGCCCAAGTTGTCTAATTATTGGATATAGGATAAGTAAGACAGTGTAGGTGGATATTTCTGGCAAATGAGTAATAGTAATAATGATGATGACACACACACACACACACACACACACACACACACACAAACTAATTACCTTGTTACAACAGATAAAAGAAACAGTGCTATTGTTCGCTTGTATTAACAGAGCAAAATGCAAAATACAAAAATCGGTTCATTAATTCACGTAAAAAAAAAAAAAACAGTATCCCATTTTAACTATTTTATTAACAATTTCACAATATGTTCGGTAGAAAAAATTACCGCCAGGAAACGCTATTGTTAACTGCTATTTGTCTTTTATTTTACGTAATAAAAATTAAAACTAATGGAATATATAGGTAGGCCAGAGGTAAAGAAAATATAATTCAATGAGAAGAGAAGAGAGGAGACGAGAAGAGACGAGAAGTAAAGAGAGAAGAGAAGAGAAGAGAAGAGAAGAGAAGAGAAGAGAAGAGAAGAGAAGAGAAGAGAAGAGAGAGAGAGAGATTGTGAAACTTCTCCAAAAAGAAGACTTAACTGATTCAATTAAACTTTCAGAAACAGTTCATAAAAAATTGAAGCACTAAGTTAAGAGTGAAAATGGTTATATCAACTAAACACCATTACTTGGTTGTTCCTCCTCCTCCTACTTTTGTCAGCTCCTCTTTATTATCGACCTACCTTTCCTTCTCCCACTCCATTGACAAGACCTCTTCCTTCATCTACTTCTCCCTCTCATCTCTCTCTCTCTCCTTCCCTGCCAAAACCCCTCTCCTCATTCCTCTTCTATCTCCCTCCGTTCTCTTCTCTCCACCATCCCTTTCATCAATTCTCTCTTCCTCTCAAAACCCCTCCCAGTCCTCTCTCCTCCTCCCACAACCACCCACCCCCTCCCTCCCTCCCTCCCCTCCCACCTACAGGAGCGTGGTACCTGACACTCATGTTTACCTCACCATTTTGTGCAATTATTGAAGACCTTCTACCTGATACTTGACCACCAACCCCACCCCCCCACCTCCCTCCTGCCTGCTGCCCTACCTCCCTCCTCCCACCTATCTGCTGCCTCCAACCAACCCTCATATTTTCCATCCATTCCTAATTATCCTTTCCACCTATTCCCAATTATCCATTCCATCCATTCCCAATTACCTTTTCCTCCACTCAATTATATAACTCTGACCAAGTTTGTTTAATCATTAATTATAGTTTTGGTCAATTACGTATAATAATTACCTATGAATTATGTCGCATTAGTATTTTTTTATATAATTTAATAACTTCTTGATAATTTTGGCCGTGTGTTTATAGTTGTTACTCATTCATGCCAATTATTCTGATAATTCTCGTCGACTGTGTAACTCTTGGATAATTAAGGTCGAGTATCATAATAACAGCTGTTTATTCTGGTCGAGTATACATATTCTGGTCGAGTATACAAATTCTGGTCGAGTATGCAAGTTCTGGTCGAGTATGCAGGTTCTGGTCGAGTACTCACCATACAGTAAACAGAGAGAGAGGTACACTGCTCCTCCAACACAAATATTCTTACCTGTAAACGAAAACAAACATTATAAGCCAAGAGAAACATTACTAAACATTTGTATTTGTATTCATTAAAACATAAAAACATGGATTATATATATATATATATATATATATATATATATATATATATATATATATATATATATATATATATATATATATATATATATATATATATATATATATATATATATATATATATATATATATTGCTACTAAGATAAATAAACATTAATTGTAAATAATAATCAAAGACTAAACATCTATATAAACACTAATTTTTAAGGTAACATTGTAGACTTTTGTTTCAATCATTCATTTCTTTCTATTGTTTACGTTTCTATCTTCCATTTCCACATTCCTCTATTCATTTAATCATTATTCTTTTTTTCCTTCGTTCTTTCAGTTCCGCTTTTATTTACTAGTTTTCCTTTTCTCGTTATTACTTTCATATTTTTATACTGTCTTTCATCCATTCCTTCATTTCCGTATAATTTCTTTCTTATATCTTGGTCTTAAGTCATCGTCGTCAAGGGGTTAAGTCATCGTCGTCAAGGGGTTAAGTCATCGTGGGAGTATGTGGGAGGGGCGAAATCAGTGTGGACAGTGACGTCATCAGGTGGGTGTGGGGAAAGAAACAGGTGGTGGGGGGTCACCACACTGTATGGATCGCGTGTCAACAAAGCGAGTGTGAAGAAAAAATTGCCATCATCCTAAATGTGAGGCCCAGGAGAGAGAGAGAGAGTGTGTGTGTGTGTGTGAGCGCGTTTTGAAATGTTAACAGTAAACAGCTGATTGCCGCACAACAACACAGGTTGCCAAGACAAATATAACCCTCGTTAAGGTGATGTAAGGTGGAGTTGTTAGCCCAGCCCTACCCGGGAGACCCCAGCCAGCCTCCACAGTACCTAAACAGTCAATCTCAGGAAACAATATAATCATGTTCAAGAATAAGAAAACAAAATAATAATAATAATAATAATAATAATAATAATAATAATAATAATAATAATAATAATAATAACAAATTTAATTTAGAAGACTAAAATAAAATAAAAAATAGCACGAGCAGAAAGAAATCATCAAAGAGAATATTTCAAAAAGGAATGTAAAAGCCCAGTTTTCTCCATTGGTGTGTTAAGGCAGCAAACACTCGTGTGACACTCCCGGGGCGCTGAACCAACACTCAGCCACAGTGCTGAAGAAGTTGCAAATAGATTCGCGTTAACACACAATCTGACTCTCATGGACGCTGTCGTACACACACACACACACACACACATAATAATAAATAAACAATAAACACCCCGTTAACATAAAAGGGTCTTGGTTTGGCAGCAGATAATCTCTAGTGAATAAGGCAAGGCTGTCAAAATCTACGGAGACAACCACCCACAGTTCACTTACTCTCACTCTCACTCGCTCTCTCTCCCTACCTCCCTCCACACACACACACACACACACACACACACACACACACACACATAATAATAAATAAACAATAAACACCCCGTTATCATAAAAGGGTCATGGTTTGGCAGCAGGTAATCTCTAGTGAATAAGGCAAGGCTGTCAAAATCTACGGAGACAACCACCCACAGTTCACTTACTCTTGACCACCGAAGGGTCAAGACGTACCTGGCGCTCCTCTCGGAGCAGCCAGGTCAACTGTTAAGTTGGCCCATACCAACTCCCTCCCCTGAACCCTCCTCCCCACTGGAATATCAACAAGTTCTCGCCAGAAGTTACAATTTCCTTTAGGAAAGGAATGGAACCAGTGTTAAACAGAGGTGAACAGTGGTGAACAGTGCTTAAGTCAGTGAGAACAACTCAACAGTAACAGTCGTACCCAAGTTAACCTTCACACAGTGAGGTCCCAGGTACCCAATGATAACGGTCCGTGAGACCCAACAACAACCAGCGATGTGTTAATCCGTCTACGATAGGAAGGCCTAAGACCAAACCTCACTCATTTAACACCATCTGTGAGGGAATTACTACACCACATGTCCCTCATAACACCACCTGTGAGGGAATTACTACACCACGTCAAGTTCCTCATCACACCATCTGTGAGGGAATTACTACACCATATATCCCTCACAACACCATATGTGAGGGAATTACTACACCACGTCAAGTTCCTCATCACACCATCTGTGAGGGAATTACTACACCACGTGAGGTCCCTCATAACACCATCTGTGAGGGAATTACTACACCGCGTCAGGCCCCTCATAACACCATCTGTGAGGGAATTACTACACCACGTGATGCCCCTCACCAACACCATCTGTGAGAGTTACTACACCACGTCCCAGGCCCTCATAACACCATCTGTGAGAGTAATTACACCACGTGAGGTCCCTCACTAACACCATCTGTGATAGTACTACACCACGTGGTCCCTCATAACACCATCTGTGAGAAATTTCTACACGTGAGGCCCTCATAACACATACTGCGAGAGTGCTACCGCCAGGTCCTCATAACACCATCTGGGGAACTACTACACCACGTGAGTTCCTCCTAACACACCATCTGGGGAGGAGTTACTACACACTACGAGTTTGCTGTTCAACACCTACATTATCTGTATGTTCACTGTATGTTCCTTTACCTTTCTCTAATGAAGGCTTTTGTTAAACCACCAATGTATGTAATAAGTCATTTATGTCCAATGTATATTTTCAGCCTTCGGGCTGCAGAACTTTTTTCAATAAACCGTTAATTATTATTATTATTATTATTATTATTATTATTATTATTATTATTATTATTACACACACACACACACACACACACACACACACACATAATAATAATAAATAAACAATAAACACCCCGTTATCATAAAAGGGTCTTGGTTTGGCAGCAGATAATCTCTGGTGAATAAGGCAAGGCTGTCAAAATCTACGGAGACAACCACCCACAGTTCACTTACTCTCACTCACTCTCTCTCTCCCTCCCACACACACACACACACACATACGTCAATACCTTGTGTTCCTAGCGTCAGTACTACCATAACATGTTGCACCTTCTCATCTCATCTCACAAAGCTGAGGCGGTTAGTGAATCTACCACACCAGACCCACCGAGTACCAGCTGACACCACCTCCAAGTAAACGACCCCTCCACAAACCACGTCCATCTACTGACTCACACACGGAGAGATAATGTGCTGCTCCTGATGGTAAGCTAACTCTACCACGACCACCATGATCCCAGCTAGGACGCTCCCAGGCAACACCACCACTATCATCATCACCAATATTATCACCACCATCACCATCATCATCCAAGCCACCGCCATACCACTCCACGCCCTTCTACTTTCCCCGTTACATCAAATTTGCATAACTTGTCGAAAAATAGTATAAGTACGGGACACCGAAATAGGGAGGAGGAGGACTCGCTGTGTGGGGCGGCGCGCGGGGAGACGGTGGCAAAGTGCCTCACCCCAATAGAATATTTTGGTGAGGTGTTACACAGGACGCGACGGCCGACACTCTGAATAAACTATTGGCAAAGGACAACCCGGACCCGCCCCGCCCCGCACCCTATTGTTTAAAGCGCCCTCACCACCCTGGTCCAAAGGTCAGGCACACGGGGTACACACAAGGTCATGTACACTGTGTCATGCAGATGTAGGTGACATATAGGGTCAGGCACACGGGGTACACACAAGGTCATGTACACTGTGTCATGCAGATGTAGGTGACATATAGGGTCAGGCACACGGGGTACACACAAGGTCATGTACACTGTGTCATGCAGATGTAGGTGACATATAGGGTCAGGCACACGGGGTACACACAAGGTCATGTACACTGTGTCATGCAGATGTAGGTGACATATAGGGTCAGGCACACGGGGTACACACAAGCTCATGTACACTGTGTCATGCAGATGTATGTGATAATTAAGGTCAGGCACACGAGGTACACACACAGTCACGTATACAGAGTGACCTGGGAGGCCATACGTACATACAAGGTTATACTTTGAGTCACGGACACGGTGTTATACGGTCAGGATCATGCACACGAGGTTATACACACGGGGTGAAACAGTCCATGACGCACTCCCAGACAAATTATACACAAGGCCAGGTTAAAGGGTGTACATGCATGACACACAACCTCCCCCCCCCCCCCTAAGTAGTGGGTGAGACCAGCGTCCTACCTCAAGATGACGGATCGTGTTTCCTGTCCCTCCTCTGTCATTATTCTTCACGTTAATCTTCTTCCTCCTCTTCTCTTTTTCATCACGCCCCCCACTGTGTCCGTTCTTCTCTGTCTCTCTTATCTTTCCCTACTTCCCGACATTGCTTGTGGCCAACAGGTGTGGGTGGGTGGGTGGGTGGGTGGGTGTGTGTGTAAAGGAAAAGGTGTGTGGCACTTGAAACAGAGACAACAGGTGTGGGACTGAGGAAAGGAGGCAACAGGTGTGTGTGTGTGTGTGTGTGTGTGTTGGGAGGGGGACGCCACCAGAGGTCGGAGGAGGAGGAGGAGGAGGAAGTAAACAAACAGGTGTGTGGGCAAGGTTGTTTACATTAATGAGGAGTCTTATTACTGACAGGTGAGGCTTCCACAGTTCCCTCCACAAAAGGTCAGATTGAGGAGGGGGTGTCAGGCTGATATCACATGACCTGAGACGAACTGCTGAACACTCTAAGATTAATGGGGAGGCAAGTTTTAACCCTTACTATACACACTTAACTATACCATCACCACTACACACTTAACTATGCCATCACCACTACACACTTAAGTATGCCATCACCACTACACACTTAACTATGCCATCACCACTACACACTTAACTATGCCATCACCACTACACACTTAACTGTACCATCACCACTACACACCTAACTATACCATCACCACTACACACCTATTTCACCAAATCATCACCACTGCACAGTTCAGGCTGGGTAAGATTAGATGAAGGAGCACTTGAGGTAAAGAGAAGCTGGGACGGTAAATAGCACCCGAA